ACAATTTTGTCTAAGTCCATTTCCTAAACTTAGGAGGGCCTTTTCGGTAGGTGACGATTTTCTCAACCAGCATTGATCTGTTGAATTCTATGGACACCGTAAGGCGTAAGTTCATCTCTTTTCAACAAAATAGGGATATCGTTTATTTGAGAAGTTTTCAAAGTTTTGCACGAATAACCTACGCTAGTCACGGTAACGACTTCCTTCCGTTGAACTTCGATCACGAACAAAAGTATTAATACAGACAAGTATCAAAGAAACGAACAACAATGTCGTCAACTAAAATGCGGCTCTGGGTAGGACTTAGAAAATCACGTCCCTGATGGACAAACAGTCCATAGATACAAAGGGGGACTTCCAATTATTGCCATCCTTGTTTCCTGTCTGACTGAGCGCTGACGCACTGCTGCAACAAATGTTTACACCCAGTCCCCCATCTTCCATATGCTCTGTACTGTCACCTGTAGAGGTGGTAACGGTTGAATTTCTGGTATGGCCGACAGGATCATGGCACGTCCAAGTACAGGATACCAAGGAGTTTAGATTTGTAAAATAGTTTACCGCCCAGCGGGTTGTTTTCTTTAAGCCATCTTTTGCTGCATTTCCAAAGTTTCTTGGGTAATCTAACACCGTGGGGGTTTTCGCGGCCGTTAAGCATTTCAACTGACGCAGCAGTCTTAGATGCCTTGTTACCCTTTGGGCCACTGAGGATTTTTGGCAAATTAGCAACTTCGCTTCTGATATAATTTTCATTGCCACACAATAACTCGAGTGTCGCTGAACAGCTCGACCGCCTCCTGAATGCTAGAAAGCCTGTTCGCCTGATGCTTTTCTAGGAGTGAGAAAATAAATTCTCGTCAACGGACATCCCGATTCTCGGCTCGTCAAAGTGATTATTTCCCGAATCCCGCTCCTCAAAGTCGCCGATTCCCGAGTCCCGTTCATGATAGCAATCCTGCATCTCGCTCCTCTCTAACTTAAATTCCCAGATCCCGGCCTAAATAAGCCCAATCACGGATCCCGAAAAACCTATCGGGGGCCCTTATATTAGGCGACAAATAATACAGACCTTTGCATCTCACTTGTCTTTCAAATTTATTGTCTTTTCCCACGAAAACAACTGGTTATGTCTTCGGCTTTTGGGTAAGTATGTCATGTATGGGAAATTATTAGGGACATTACTGTATGTAAGTAAAGCATAGGGACATAAAATGTATTGAGTAGATAATAATTCCCTATACATGACCTACCTACCAGTAGCCTGCTGGTCAAAACATTGCTGGCTCATTCTTTTATGAATTTTACACATCACGCGATTAAACGCCGGCAACACTCGATCGAGAGAGATGTATATTTACATGTAGTAATAGAATGCTTCAAAAAACATGCATACACTTAAAGATCGAAGCAAGCAAATAAACAGAAATCTGCAGAATATTCTGAAATTGTCACCTAGCAGACAGCATGAACAACGTGCTTGAATAATTCCTACAAAAAGCCGTCGGGTCACGTCACAGAAGTTAGTTTGGCGGAGTTCTGCACTACTTTAATTTTATTTTCGGAATAGTAGGACAGTTTTTAGTTTGATAGAGCTACTGATATTTCCTCTTAAGCGAGAGCGCAGAATTTCTCGTCTGTAAAAGCCGAAGTTGTCGCACACTGAAGCTTATAGTAATGTCAACCAATACGCAGCGTGAGACTTTAAATCTCCTAAAATGAACGATAACGATGATAAACAGTCAAATCATAGACTAGCGAAAGTATTGTGGAGGTACTTTTTTTGCGGGAAAGAGTCGGTTAGCCAAGTTCGTTCTTCTCTCATTTTTCACTAAAGAAGGAGAAGACGTTCCTTTGGTAGTTGGCAGATTATGGCCTTAATTTAAACTTAAACTCATAAGGCTGATTAAAAGGCATTGACTTGCCAGGGCAATTACGAGGACCAGTATCATTGGACATCTGCTTTATTTTCGCTAAGAACACGGACAAAAGTTACGGAGGTTCATAGAAACACAGACGCCCATGCAATTTCGAACTGGTAGTAGTGCCCCCTTATTTGCAGAACGCGTTGTGCATTTACCTCGGTTTCCTCTTTTGATTTGTTTTTTTGTTTTGTTTTGTTTTGTCTGTTTTCATTTTGTTCGTATCGACTCATACCTCAATATATCAACAAACTACAATAACTTATATCAAATGACGAAGGAAACACCGTTTTCGCATGCTTTTAACAGCAGGGGATTTATGATATTGTTAGGTGCCGCCAAGTTCTGTTGGCAAAGGACGTCAGTGAAACACGTGTGAAGGTTGAAACTCGTGACATGTTTAATGGATGTTTTCTCTTTCAGAGACTTTCAATGAAGCAGGTAGAATTTACAATTCCTCTGATAAGCATGGCCAGAATACTCTCTTAGCTATATAAAAAACTACCTAGCGTGTCTGTAAATTCTGTTATCCTGTTTAAGATAACAGGAAATTACTTAAAAGTGCTTAAAAGTACTCTTGGGTTGCGAGACTGTCGGGTTTCCTATAAAAACAGACACAAGTGCCGACGGATCGACTTGTAGGAAACGAGGAAAGATAAAGGAAGATACTCTCAAAAATGTAGAGATCAGTGCTTTGTTATGCGTTTGTCTGCATCATTAATTGCATTTGTTAGTCTACATACTTAATTGCATTTGTTACCACTGTTGGGGGAAAGCCTTTCAGCTCTATTTCCCTTTGACGACTTTCCTTGGCACAGGAAGAAGATAACGCAAATAATTTCTTATTCGACACGTATAACTCTTTCTTTTCATTTGTACAACGGCGTTATGTTTAGGCTGGAATATTTTCGATATCATTTCAACACGCTCTGATTGGCTCTATTAACTTAAGTCACTCTTTCAACCAATCATATGCCAAAAAAACCTTATGTGATTGATATTCACCGGTTTTTTTGGGCAAATTATAGGCCATGTATGGTTTGTTTGACGCTCTCGTCGAGTCCATTGTTGTATTGTTATATTGTTTTCCATATCTTTGGTTAAACGAAACATATTCGTAAAGCACTCTTGTTTGAGGTTGTCAACTTAAAATTATCTTCATTAATAAATCACAAGCGAAGTTGAAGATTAAGTTGAAGCTTGTGTCTCTGCAACTGATGAAAAATAAACGACTAAGTGAAACATGGATGAAGAGAAATTAGAAAATTGCTTTTCGAAGCGTTTTTACAAGCGATAAGAGATTTACGAAACGAGAGAGCCTAAATCTTTTTTGTCTGGTTGAAAGGACTTGAAGCGTGGAACAACCTTGGTTTTCTAAGGAAGGAAGAGAATTCCAGCTACCGGCGCCATTTGTTGTTACATCCGCCAATGTTAAAACTAAGTTGTTCTTCGTCTAAAAGTCAATGGCGATCGACCTTTTGAAAATGTTATTAACGCAATTTGTTTCTCTGTGTTTGTTTATTGAGTTTATTTGGCAGATTTAATGGCGAGGGTCTGACTGTTGGAAGCTTACACCTTCTATCATAACAAACCACTCCTTTTTGGCCTCAATACAATTTATTATCACCATATCTACCACTTACACTATTTTATAGTTAACAAGATAACAAACTGAGTGTTAAAACTCATTTAGTTAGCTTCTACTTAATGTCTATACCGAAGCTCAAATGGCCAAAGTGACGAGGTTCGGTCAACACGGCCAAAAAATGCATTGTTACCGAGCTTGAGTTACTTTTTTTGACCCGCTCAGTGTGCTACAAAAAAATGGTGACGGTTAAATATTTAGTCACGTACATGGCAAACTTCGGACATTTGGAAGCTTCTTATAACTAAACAATTACTAAAACTTGGTTTGAACCAGACTCTAGGAGTCTATTTGAATTCTATCTTAATTTCTAGCGTCATCTGAAAACCAACTTTTTTTACTTTTCATAATGTGATCTGATATTGTGTGTAGTATGATTAACTTTTCTATCAAAAATCAATGGCTATTTTTTATTAAAAAAAATTTTTACCATTATGAAAATTGCCCATTGGACTAAATCTTAGTTACAACAAAAAGTCAATAGTAAAGATGTATTTTTTATTTTGCACAAGTTTTCACTTGCCGATGTCGTCCTTTAATAAATAAGTGCGTGAATCTGGGCAAGCAAGTTTTTAAATCTTACAGAAGCAAAGGTCATAGTAATTGGATGGAGTTTCTGTCTGAAATCAACTTACTGCCTACGTATTTTGTTTTGAAACTCATATTTCTTTTTTGTTTACGAGTTGTTAGCGCCTTTCGGCGTGGAGCAACTACAGATTTGATGGTCTAGAAGTTTATTTCTTTCGGCAGCTCACTGCATTTCTTATTGCTTCAAACTCTTTCTCTAGATAGTGCCAGTGAAGGAAATGATCTTTAGCTACTTAAAACATTCTGGAGTAAGAATTGGAAAGTATCAGATATAAACTCCTAAATATTCATGTACCCTGAGTTATCATGTGCTCTTCTGTACTATTACTTCTCTTGAAAAACTCATTTTCGTTACTTGATGTGGCTTCTCCAGCTGACTTTCCTATCTTTTGTAACTACATTGATTTCATTTCCCTACCATTGTATTTTTTAGCATGGGCTTAAAATTGCACTTGAAAAGGGCACTTAAAGAGAAGAAAAATGTAGACCTTTGAGGTATAAACAGCAATAATCATGCAATTTACATCGTTACTGCTTATGTAATTCAAATGTTTGTGATGTACTTCTTTGCGAGTTTTCCCTGCTTCAGAAAACGTAAATAAAGTCGTGTTTGCCTTGCTCGTAGATCAGCTCTCGCTAATTCCATGGACAAGATTCTGCATGAACTGATTCTGTAAGCAATCTAGTCTCCATGACAGCTGTTGTGTAGAAATACCAAAATAGCGTATGAACGCTGTAAACTTCCAAACGAATTTTCCAGTTTTATGCCCTCCTTCTGAAATCCAAAGGTGCTGCGTTGTGCTCTCAAGCAAATGCAAAGTGTGGTATTTTCTTAGTGTCAATAGCCTCAGCTAATTACATTAGCTTTTCAGTGTTCAGCATTAGACAGAAAGAGGACTGTTCCAAGTCAGGAACTCAAAGTCCTCGTGTTCTTCAGTGCTAAACTCACAGCTTGCGTATCTTTTCAAATGGCCCAACGCCTTTCTTCTTTGTCTCATTTCTTTCCTCAAAGAGGTTTTCTGGCAAACTTTCTGTATTACATGGGCTTTGACTGTCGATTTCTTTCGCCTTTCAAAGAAGCATAGTCCACATGCCCACCAAAAGTCTTCTTCGGCAGTTTTGAATCCATTTGCTCTTCTCCTTCCACCACTTGTGCAAGCCGGTGCCCGATGGCTCATAAGTTTTAACAGATTGGGAAGATCAGGTTGTTCAACGATGTATCGAGCTCGAACATCGCGGTTGTAGTGTACTGAAACCTGAAAAATGAACAGCAATTTGAATATCTTTACATCTTTGCGTTTTCTAGAAAGACGGACCGGTAAGATCATCCGTTTTATCATCGAGAGAATGCGGCGGTGAAGTAAACTGTGCTCTTTTTCTAGTAATGGGTCTCAACAGATGGCTCGAGAAATTAAAGAGAACGGGTTTCCGATGAGACTTTCACGCGTTGGGTCTTCGTCCTATTTTGGAAGCCATTGATGAGGAGACAAAGTATACAATAAGGGTCTCGTTCGACGGAAACTTAACTGAGTTCAAAGAGATTGTTTTATGAACATTTTATGAGATTGTTTTCGGAACAACGACGTCTTACTTACTTTTCTCTTATCGAGTCTCGTGTCTGGTCGAAGAACAACTTTTCCGAGAACGAGTGGATTTGTTGATAGCGTCGTCGACGTTGATCGGGTAAATTCATCATTTAAATTAAGCTTCGAGAGTTCCTGGCGAAGCTTTAAAGCTACTCTGTTGACAACGGCGTTTGTGGCGTGTGATTCTGCCAAAGAAATGTTTGATAAAACTGCTATAAGACCAGTAATCAACCTATTACTCTCAAATTGCAGATGTGGTCTGTGGAAAGAATCCTAACTGAAGACTGTGAAGTTTATAAGCTCATTATTGAAATCTGTGGCGTTTCTACATTCTTCTTCAAAATTTATCGGTTATCGTGAAAAATATGATCTGAACAATACCTGATGATGAGAAAGTGCTTACCTACTCCGTCGTTTTCAATTTCGGAAAAGGTAAACTGCCTCGGCGAGTGGTCGGATGCAAGTTTGTGGTTAGGTACTTTACAGCATTGCGATGGTAGTCTCAAAGCTTCTTTTCCAGCGATGGCTGAAAAAAAATAAGCGAATTATTATCCTGCAATTTCATTAATTTTTTGCCGAAGAAAAAATACGCGAAACGCCCTCTTACAAGTGAAAGGAGAATGTATGAGACTTATCAATCGGCTCGCAAAAGACAGGAAAGGAAATTATTGCGTCAAGCGTAAATTGATTCATGTGGCTTTGCTTTCCAGTTGTCAGAATTTGCATCCAAGTTGGACAAATAGCTACTTTATAGATGAGATGAGACCTCAATGCCATGTGAATTCTTTTATAGATGAGCGATTTATGGTTCGTAATTACCACATTGGTTTTTCTACAAACATATTTTACGATTATACATTTAAATTTCAATACTGCTCGTATCGTAAAAGACGAAAAATTTCAAGTAAGTGCAGCTAACGTTGATGACTTTAACTTTGCAATTTCCTCCTTTAGTTTGTTTTGGCTCACGCAGAAAGAAGTGGAAGACAATGATAGATATAGGATTAGATGAACGCGGGTAAAAGTGGAAGACGGAAGTAACAAACGCTTGCTGCTCTGCTGTCCCCCACGTTGGCGTCATTGGTGTGGGCCTTAGAACTTCCTACTAGCCCAAGCACACGTTTATTCATTTAAAGCTGATGAATTTGCTTTAACAAAAAATCGCCTATTATGGAATGATCTTAATGCGTTTCATTAAAAATTTGCTCATTGCAAGACTCGAGTGCAGTGACCTACGTTAGCTCGTTATTAAGTGAGCACTTAACATATTTCTCTCATGAAGATTTTTAGGCCCTTTCTCTTACATCCGTAAATTAGCCTGCGAGAAGATGATGGGTTATTTTCCCACTAAGGCCGTATATCCTTCTGTTTGTCAGCCATTAAATACGCCGCTATAACAACTTTCTGCTTCAAGTGATGAACATGTAACCTCTGCTCTCCTAGAAAGATGCAGAGACCATTTAAGAAACGATTGCTGGGTTTTCTCTGTCTAAAGACCCTTCAGTTAATTAAGGGACATGTTTGCCTTTTTTCAGGAAGTGTACGTCTGCGGACACATATTAAGTGTTCTTCTTCTTTTTCCCGTCTATCATATCACACCATGTATGGATAAAATAGGAATAAAGTAATGCTTTTTTTATGCCGACTACTAAGACCAAAGGTGTGACCTACTTGATTCATCCTGTACTTCAAGGCTCTTGGCCTTCTGAGTTGCTCTTGTAGTGATCCTAAAAGGTTTTGACTTAATGGTTGTAACCAATCCTTCATGAAAACCCATCATTATGATGAGCTCCCACTTGTTTCTCTCCATAACATCAGCCTTCTCAAGTCGGTACACAGAGGATCCCTCTTCTGTTCTGTGCACTGAGCCCAAATCTACCGAAAGGACAGTCTGTGTCTGATCGTGTTGCTGAAAATTAACTTGCAGCTCGACGGGACCTGTGGGGACATTTCCAAAGATTGAAGACCGATAATTAGTAACCAGCTATAGCTAAAGAATCATGGCCTTAGGGTCTAGAATTCTAAAGCTAAATTCTCAGAAAACAACGCATGCGATAGATATTTTCTCCTAGTTTATTTTATTGCCGGAATATATCGTGGCTTCTATCTTAGATACTGGCCGTCCGGCTTAAGTTATTTTTTCCATGTTTCTTTGAAGCCCAGCAATGAATGATTTATTACATTAAAGAAATTGTCTCTTGCAAGAGAAGTGGAATCGTTTTCCAGTTTAACTCTGTTGAGAAACGAACCTGTTGTGTCGTGAGTTCTTATCGCAGCGTCAGGACATCTTTGAACGTAAACTCGTACTCTCTTAATTTCATCGGAAGCACGGGCCACAATAGTTACTTCTGACGATCCTAGTCCATATTCGTATTTTCCGGAGCATTTTTTTGTCTTCTTATCGTAGGTGTCCATTAAGTTCATAATTTGAACCTCTACCTCAGGTCTTGCATATTTTGGTTGATGTCCTTTAGAGGACAGGTTCGTCTTGGCGCCACAAGGAGGTAGAAAACTGTGATCGGCTGTTGAAAAAAAGGAAGCGGACGTCAAGAAATTTTGCGAGCCCAAAATTCAGAGTAATTGCATCATGTGAACCATAGTAGGATTTTCAAATAGGTGTTTGTTTTCTTGGACGTTGGTTTACTTCTTTTAAAAATCAGTGACGCATCAACTATTCAGAACACATCAGAGGTGAATTTTCCGCATCTGCTTTGTACGTGACAGTATTAAATTATTTAAAGTGACTTCACTGTTGTTTTGTGAAAGAATGTTTTGTACAGTCGGATATTGAATAGTTGTAGACAGATTATTTTAGGAGGCGGTCCTCGACCTTGACCCAAATTGTTGTTCTACAGTAGACAAATATCGGTCAAGTAACCGATCCATACGTAATTTGTTTAATCGCTGAGCTATATTTATAAGTCCCCCCAGGCACAGAAGCATTAGCAATTTATTTGAATGCAACGAAAGAATCACGCAAGAAGAATAATCAGTCTGAAGATAAAACTTAAAAGTAGAAGAGCAATCCTAAGAGGAAGTTGCGAGGGGAAACAGAGGTCACACCAGGCGACGAAGTTGCATTTTGACATAGTTCTTTATCATAACTAGCTGAACTAATACGGAAAAAAGTCTTGAAAACAACACCATAACCGGACGTAATTAAAATCGCGTGTCAGCTAAGCTTATGTGTATGGAGACAAACATATTTAAAACTGGCCAAGTAATCAATACATAATACGATACACCGATGTTGGTATAGGTCCATGCATGTTCTAAGAATGTATATTAAGCAGTTGAATAAAATGACCCCCTCTATCTCCTGCAGTATCGTTTAGAACGTTAACATATTCAACAGCCCTGTGCAAACACCTTGAATGTTATCACCTGCAGTTCTAAAGGAACAGGTTATTGAACTCATGCATTATCTGCAATAATAATGTTTTTTCCGCCGGGCGTGGACAAAAAACTTTTATGCTCAGAACGTTTTCCTCTCTCGTCGGTCAACAAAGATATCGATGAATCCTCTTTCTCCAATCTTACCATCACAAATGATGAAGTAACACCGCTGCTTCTTTTAGCTCCGATATCAAGCTGTTTTAGAAAATTAAGAGTCAGAAATCTTTTACTTGAAATGGTATTACGTAGTGCTTTCAGGTTATTTAGTCGGTACTAGGTGAACCATTAAGTTGTTGAAGCGAAGAGGAACTTGTTAAGGTTAAATAAACAAAAAAGGAAAATGCTAATTCAGTCACGCTATAGATTTTAGGCATCATAGTAACAGAGAATAATACAGCAGTTTGACAGTAGTCTGAGAAGTGAATGTTGCACGCTGCTGCTGAATCACTCCATCCTTCACTATACTTTGGTTCTTTAATTACAGAAGTTCTTCGAATGTCAATGGCGTTTATGAGTCAGTAGACTCATTGCAAATAACTTGAAGGGGTTTGTCATAAATCAGTTGCTACTTCACTCGGTGACTGAATGTCCTAGAACGCTATTTGTCTAACCTTTTCGGAATTTACGAGTGGGCAGAATGGAGCATGCGGACAAAATTTATCTTTATCCTAAATAGCCAAAGGGCTCTCGAAAACTTCCTGCTCAATATACGCTTAGAACAGATGATACATAACCTAGCTGTTAACATCAAATGTGCGTCAACCATCCTGTTGTAATTAAACCAAATATGAAACTAGGGACGTAATATAACGTAGATTTGTTCTTTGCTAAATATTAGGAGTCATTTTGAAATAATTTTTTCTCGAGATGATCGCGTACAACTTGCAAGAGGAATAAAATCGGTGTTGTTTGCGGTACGGTCCAAATGTAACTGTAACAGAATGACGCCCGTGGCTTGACAAGCCCAGTTGAATTACGCATTTTAAGTCACGTTTTGAGCGCACATTTCCAGTTGAACGTTTGAAGTAGACCGTTGTCATTTCGCGATGTTTTGACGCTGTTCAGAGGAAGTAAGGATGGAGAAGTTCCAGACAGATCGCTTTTCTCTTTTAAATTATTATTTGAAAAATAGGCTAACTAACGGTCGCAGAAAACCTTTTAAAATGCTAGAGCTGATAAAGACGATGTTCAAACTATTCACCTTGTACGTTCAATAAATTTATAGAAACTTTGCTAAGTAAATATTGGTGTTCTGCCCACCGAAATAATCTTGTCCGTTACGTAACAAACGAAGTAGAACTTATGTCCTTCATTGCCAAAAACGGTTGCTGATACTCAGCAGGACTTTTTCGTTTTGCACATTCTTCACGACCAAGCTACATCCTAAGAAAGACTTCCACTACCTTTTGGTATTGACTAGGAAAAAATGTTCGGAGCATAACAAAGTAGTCTTGCTCGATGCTGCAAGTTTCCGTAAAAATCTACAGCAGATGTACTATTTTCATCGCGAAACTTGATCACCATGTTGGCATCGGCCTTAATTCTTTCGCCCTTTTTTAAGCGGATTTCGTTGAAAACGATTTCACTGCCTTAAATAGGGCTGTATCAGAGAAGAATCTTAGTGTTTAGTATTAGCAGAAAGGCCGAAAAGAGGGAAGAAACTGAAAAATAAAGATAAGTTTGACAACAACCGCGGTAACTTGTCGGTGCTGGTAATGCTTTCGTAAAGTAAAATGAAAGACGTAAGACATTTCAAAGTCTTCAGTTTCAAGTTTATGTTTTGTAAAATAAGGATAAAAGATGAGTCACATGACGGTGCTAAGAACATAATTGTACTTTTACTTTTCACTTGAAACTGATTAAAACGAAACTTGTAGTTCAAGGCATCGGCAGATGTTGGGATGTAATCGCGGAAAGTCTTAGTGAAGTCTTCTCTTTGTCGGGTGACTGATGTCACCCAAATCGGCGTCGTCATAAGTCTTTTCCATTTCAGTCTACTTCTTATGGAAGCTTACAAACTTTTTAGTTCTACAAATTTGAAACTTTGTGGAAAGACAGATATCCTCAAATGTATTATGAAATGAATGTTTTGTACTGGGTAAAATCTGAAATCTGTTAAACGGAAATAAAATTTATTTATCCAAACCTCAGCTACTCCTCAGGCCCTGTAATGTTGGGTCATTAAAATAGATGAAAATCAATGTTAGGTTTAAAGTGCCAGATGGTGTACCTAAAGCACCATAATTTTCATAAAAAATGTTCGTTGATACCCTTGAAGGTCAAGTAATTTGGGTGTTAGAACGAAGAGAAGTTCCTACCTCTAAAGGTTAAAGACATCTTCCAGGGAACCTGCTTACTTGTAAATGCTATTAGTGGAACTGAATGAAATGTAGAGCCATCAACGCAATGGCTGGAAAAAAAATATCGCCCATTTCTTACTCAGTTTACAATTTTCAGAGAAGATTGCTCAACAGTTACAACACCCAACTTAAATATTTATCAAGAATGTATGAATGACCCACGCTTAAACCTGCAGGGCAAGAAAGCATTTTTTTGCCAGAAGTCACAAGTAGTAACTGTTAACTTTGGATATATTGGCACTCATTGCCATTTATGCCATGCTCTGTTTGGTAATTTAAAAAAAGTTGGGTCAGTTTCCTCATTCCGGCTTCAGCTAACTTCAGTACGATTTACGGGGGTTTGACTTTGACAGAACAGATTCACATCTGCTTGGTGTCACCTAGATGAACACGACTTAGGTGTTAATTCTCATTTCACTAAACAAATCAAAGGGAGACGTGCATTGTTAGGTAAAAATCGAGTTAGCCTCACTTAACTAAGGAAATCAAAGGAAGTCGTGCATTGTTGGGTATAAATTTAGTTAGCTTCGTGGTGCTTTTCTTTACTTTACTCGACTGTAAGTTGCCTGCGGTCCTTTCAAGGGAATTTCTAGATTAGCATAAGCGGGAAAACAGCTGAAATTAAGTGAAAGTGAAATTGGGCCATTTGGAGGAGTAGTTGCTTATATGGTTATTGTAAAGCTCTGTTGAAAGAGTGTGGTCTCTTTATGTTACTAAAACCAGATTTAAGTATGGTCATCAATATGATGTAGACGAGAAGGAAACAGGACTTAATTATACGCTAACACTCCAACAATATTTGACACCAACTAAAAAAAAAAATTTATTCCTTTACGCTCAACACTTACTTGGAAATGTTTATGTAACATTGGTGTTTGATCTTAGATTGAGAAAATGTTTGAAATCCTATCTCAAACCATTAGCTTCGACTATGATCGCAAATTTTCGGTCGTCTTCAATATCGACCGACGCCGCTGCACACATCAAGGGTTGAATAAGACTCAAAGCGGAAAAGTTTGTTTAGTGTCAGTTCAACGATTTTCTTGTACAATCAGGGAAAATTATATTCACAAGCGGACGTTGAGAAGCACGTGGAAGAAAAAAGTGCGTTAAGTCCGTTACATGTACACATGTAAAAACCAATATAAAACCAAACGTTTCGGAATGGAAGTTAAAATAAATTAGTGAAGTTCATCACGAGAGAGAATGATGCCCCAATTTTCTTGCTTTTAAGTCGCTAACGAAGCAACCAAGGAGGGTTTGTTTGTTTTGATACTCGTCGCTCTCTAAGAGTCATTTGACAACATTTATTACCTTGTTATTTTAGTTGTATACCAGATGAAACAAAATTGTTGAAATCGTAAGTGCATTTGGTGATGCACGACCACCAGTCTCAGCTTTTTTGTTTTGTCTGTTACCTTTTGTTGGCCTCTCAAAGTACATGCTATTTTTTCAAACATATCATATTTTCTGCAGAAGAAATGAGTGTAAGACAGGAGGCAAGCGAGCTTGGGTTCGAATATGTCATTTTGATAACACCCGAAAGCAATGTCGACGCCTCGCAGCGAGTGTACTTCGTTGCTTTTTGCCACGTACAACATTCAAATTGTTTGGGTGGTATGCCATTCCATTACGTTCCGCCAAATCTAAAATTTAGTCAAAAAAAAAAATAACAAAAAAACTCTGACGTACCCCTTACGTTCCAGAAGCTTGTCTGCATCGGGGCTTCCCCGGTTTGTGAAGGCAAAAGCCACTCGCTCTGGTTGAACCCGGCAGATAAATCGTCGCCATACTGTGCCCTGATAAATTCATCTATATCGTTTAGCTGTTGCTCTAGCTCGGGATCTAAAGCGAAAAGACTCATCTTCTTCAACACCAATCAGTCGAAAGAAGCGTAACGACTCTGCAAGCGTTGTCTTATGCCCTGGGAGGAAGTCGTTCCTTAAATCTTTCTGAAGAGTGAACCAAACAGCTTTGACACTGAGTGGGAGTTGTTTCCGGCTAGGATGTCTATTAAACGGAAAATTGTGACGTATGTTCTTTGTTCCCAGGGTCGAGCGTGGTATCCGGGTAATTGTTATTCTAGCCAGGGCTGCTTTTATGCAGTGACTAATATTATTTGAAACTCAGTCTCGAAGCTATGATGTATTATAAGTTTATATTAATGCACTGAAGGTCGCAGATGGTTAAATTTTTTACCGGTGTTCGTGACATTAGGGGCAACAATTTTTTTAATTACGTCCAACTGTTTTCCTTTTTCGTCAAGTTTCTGTCTTGCCTACTTTAGAGCTTTAATGAAAAGGGCTAACTTAAAATTGTGTCTGAATAATATCATACTATTCTTTACTTAGTCAAATTAAACTATTTTCCAAACATTTTCTAACAAAGTGAATTGCCCTTCCTTAAAATGCCATGGAAATTTTTTGTCCGTTTCCTCTTGTAACCGCCTTGAGTTTTTGTGACCTTTTGAACTGCTACCTTGTAATACATTTAATCGCAATATTAACGCTTTCCACCCCCTTTCCTCAAAATCACGTTCCATTAAAATTGATTTACTAATGTATAATCGTCACACTGTGCTTAGAGGCGTTGCTCACTGTCTTGTTAAAATCGTTATAATCTGATTTTTGTGATCTCGGGGCTACAAACAGATTTCGTTGTTCAAATGTTAACAATGAATCCGATCACCCTTTTATGAGGTTTTGAAAGACAAAAACATTTGCTTAATACCCTCATGGTATTGTGTTTAACCTCATTTGTTGAAACAAAAACAAAGAAGGTTGTATGGAATGTACAAATGTTTTTCTTCAGGGTTAGCGTTGTACCTGAAACTCAGTTTTGGCTAAGTACCTTATTTGGATTGCTCTGTCTCTCAGTCACGTCGCGTTACGTTATTGACGTCTTTACATCAAACCTTGCACAATTTTGGCTCGCAATGACGTAAATGCGTCACACCTTCCACGCCTGCAGCATGTTGCGAAATCCAAAATGGCGGTTTTATGTCACGTCTCTGCATGGAGTCGCGTCATGTCGGTTTTGCAGTCAAAACAGGCTCAGCTGCCTCAGTTTCTCCTAATTCAGGCGCCAATAAGTTTTACTCATTGTCATTTTTAAACACCTGATAAAGGTGAGTGAATCAAATGCTAGTCTTTTCTCTAAAAGGTTGTAGTTACGCTGCCTACCGATTGGCGCGAGAAGGCTATCGATTTGCTCGGGGAGGTTGTGGGACATAAAAGCTATAAATAGTGATTGTAAATTACTCATTTATCAATCCAACCTTTCTTTGTATTTTTACTTGCTATAACAAGTTTATAAGTTTATTTTTATTCCTGAAGTGAAGGCCACTGAGCTACAACGCCTTTCGTCGTTATTATTTTTATGAGGCTGAGGTTAAAGAACACAATAATTAAACAAAGTATGGAAATTTGCTTTATGTGGAGTGTGCCGGTCCTTTAGTGTACAAATTGATTAAGCAAGGTAATGAATAAATTTGACATGTCATAACGGATTAGTAATGTACCACGTTGTTAATCTTACTCCAGTTCTTTGTTTAACCTTCTAAATCTTTAATCCTACTTTGAATCCAAATGAACGTATTTTATGTGTTTATTCTATATCTTCGTTCTTTATGCTCTTTTATTTCGACTAAGGACAAAAGAGGGAAATAGATAGCACGAAACGTCGAAAGCAATGAACATCGTTAAGATTTATGACCTAACAGCTGTCAACGCCCCAAACAAAGTTTGAAGATATTTTCCTGGTAATAGGATGCTCTAAAACTAACAACAGTCAATGATTAAATCAGTTTTCTCATTTTTTGTAACTTTCACCTTTAGATATTTCCTGCGATACACATCAGCAGGGTTTCTTACCAAAGATGGAAGTCACATATATATGTTGGCTTATTTCCGGCGTTGCAGTGACAACCTCCTTTTGAGCACAGCACGTACCTTTCCTGATGGTTAATTTAGTTAAGAACATTTTGAGTGGCCGTATATAGTAAACGGAAAAAAGAAATAATGGCACGCAAGGGAAGTGTTTGCTGCAAGTCTGTGTCTGCTGTCGTTGCGGAACTCATTCTCTATGCATATTGGCAATGATTGATAGCCTATCGTACATGTAGGAGATCTTAAAAATATTGGATTCAACTTCCAATTTCTCAGAGTCGACTTGACCTCCTTCAGGTGACACTCCATACTACGCGTTTATGACTTGTAGGTTTTCTAGTTTCGAACTTGCTTACTTGATCGTGGCTTAACTCCTCGCAATCCATCCACGGTCAGCCTTTGCTTTTGTCTTGCGTTATGAATTTTGTTTAGGTCGTTATGCAGTATTTTCTGTGGTCTGGGTTTTTGTTTTCAACATCCTCGTTTCATGCTTTCCAAACTCGGTGAGAAACTGTGACTGCCTTGCGTCTCTCAGTTAATACGTCTTGCGATTGTCGATTAAATTTTCACTCGCCACTTTTATTACAGTTACAGTGATACTCGAGAAAATTCTTTACCTTCCTCGCCCCTGTCGATAGACGTAACACAGTATTGTCTAGAATATTCCAACTGTAATGTGGTGTTTCGGTTGACATGATAACAAATTAAGAACTTTGAAATCCTAACTGCAGGTTTTTTTTACACAAATAAAGATGCAAAAAAAGATCTAGGGTTTCCTCGTCAAAGACTCAGATTTTTTTTGCTTTCCAACGCGTTACAAAAAGAATGACAACTTGTTTCACTGAACTCAAGTTGTTTATTTATTATGATTAAAGTAATCATGGTCACGCACATTGCCCAAAACCTCAGACACCCTTTTACCTAACTAAGATACGATGAAGATATCAAAACTCCATTGGACTGGGGTCAGTTTTTGTTGTTTTCCATCGCTCGCGACAAAACTAATGACAACTTCATCACTGAACTCAAGTTGTGTAGTAATTCTACACCTTAGTCAGGCACGTTTCCCAAACCTAGGGGACTTAATTTTATTCAGCTAAAATTAGATAACTGAAGTAAATCAGTCTTCTTTTATTAAATGTGCCACAATAACTGGTGGATCCATACAACTATTTCTTACTGCTGAGTTATTTCACTGAGCCTGTTGTTGCTTTAAGGGCTTCCCGCAGCTCACTTTACTACAACATTTTCCTTATTGAAATTTACCTGCCTTGACACTCCATGTCACTTTATTATTTGGTTAATTATCTATGTTATGCCCCAATTCAGGCAGCTAAACACAGGTGGGTTTTGCTGCCTCAACCAGGATTTTAGTTGTGTTACGCACTGTTTAAAAACTGTAGAGTTTTGTCAACCAAATCTTAGAGAAATATGTGACCATATCTGTTATCTTCTGTAGCCCATCCCTCATAAACATGACCTCGTTTACTTCGCTTGAGATAAAAAATATTTTTGGTAAATAAATTGTACCTTTTGTTTTACCAATTGAGAGGAGGAAGTTATGTTCTCATAAGAAAGTCAAAATTACAGTTACATATTGACGCTGTAGTTGTTTTAAATTTTGCTCGTAGACATCCGTTCCAAAATTCGCAAATATATCATTGAACTGTCAATGGTCATGTTTATGTCACAAAACTCCGAATCAATTACGTGTGACACGAATATCGTTGCCAACTTGCATTATCAGTAGAACTTCTTTCCTCACATACAGATAGTGCCATCGCTCTAAAAATGTACGATTTATTTCTTATGTTCCTGTTACGTGTACTGGACACCTCAAGTTTTTCAGAACAATTTAAGAAATGGCCACTACTATTAGAATATGAGTAAAAAAAAAAAAAAATTTCAAATTTTTCACCTCATGATTTTGAATGATTCTTGTTATTTTCAGTATCTGTCAGTCTTTTCGTGATGTTGAATTCCTGTGCTAGATAATGCGATCGCGGCATAGATTTGTAACTTAATTTTATTTGACGTTGAGAGAAAGTTTCATATTGCCATTGTTTCTGCACCGGTTAACCATTGACGCGTGAAGTTTGTCGTTCCGCCGGCTGAATCTGGCTATTTTTTCACCACATCACGCAATACGAATTTATAGAAAACTTTTTAAGAAGCATCAGAGAAAATTCACGGCCAGTTTTTTTAAATAACAGTAACAGCGAACACTAGGACTAAAACGTATTCCAACGATTAGAAATATAACTACGACAGTTGCAGTTCGCCTGTGAGTATCATTTTTGTTTTACAGATCAAAATATATTTCAAGTTGAACGACTCACAATTTCATCAGCTGAATATCTAAGTCACAGTTCTAGCTCTCAGTGAGCCCAGAGGATATCATATGAACTTCTCGCCGGCGGGAGACTTCTCCGGTAGCGTATTGATGAATTTACAGCACACGCGTATAGCAGTCGAGACTCGATAATTCCATTTTCAAGAGTGTGCTCTTGAAACCATTGGCCTTTTGCGAGACACGGAGCTGAGAGTGGTCGTGATTATAAGGGGAGCACTAAAATACTTTTTTTTATGGATTAACACTAGTGTGGACCTAACGGAAAAAACTAGACTTGTAATCCATTGTGTGGCTACTAAACTCATGAAGAAAAACGAGAGGATGCTCTCATGTTTAATCTGACCGGTTACCTCAGTCACACACAGGCTCGGCGAATAGGTTTAAACAAAGGTTTCGTTGTTGAATGTCAATTATTAAACTCTTAGACGTTTTAGAGGGGTCACCCTTGAAAATTATATCTTGAAAATACTTCAAGATTCTCGGCTTAAGGATTCAGTTGTTTCTCGGGAGTTTAGGGTTTCAATGAGTAATTAATTTTTCATAGTGGTTACCTCCGGATTGTCATCGCCAGAGGAGCCGAATAAATTTTTTTTAAATAGCAGGTGATATATTCAAATCTATTATTAGGTACTAATCGTAGAAAAAGAGC